ATGCGTCCGGCGCGGAAACGGCCGCATCGGTGGCGCAAAAAACCGCCGCGGTTCGGTGGGACCTGCGGTGTCACAGAGCCGGTGCCGCTGCCTGGAGGACCGGGATCGCCGGACGGGAGCCGCCGGCGAGCGGATGTTGGTGACATCGAGCAGGGGGTTCGTGGGGGCTCACACCTCGGCGAACGCCCGTACCGTGCGGGCATCCCGGCCCGCCGGCAGCCGCCTCCCGGATCAGCCCCGGGCTCCGCACGCCGGCGAGCACCGTAACGCGCCCTACCTGGGCCCTCCGCCGCAGCCGCGCTCCGCCCCGGCACCATTCGCCCGGCGACAGAACGGGGCCGCGTCCGGGCTGATTGGTGCCGCGCCCGCCGGGCCCGCTGCCGTCGGCGCCCGCAGCGTAGGGGCCGGGGCCCGCAGCTCCATCTGCTGGTCACGGGCCCGGGCCCAGCGGCGAGGGAACGGCACCCACCTGCGGGCAGCGCACTCCGAGGCCAGGGGCGGCCGGGACTGCGAAGAGAAAAGAGGCGAGGAAACAACACCGAGGGATGCCTGGGCCCGGTGTACAGCACGGAAGGGCCGACCCGAGCCCAGCGGGTGGTGGGGAGCGATGTACGGCGAAAGGATGAGGCAACCCCTGCCTCTGCGAGGGCTCGGCGGGAGGTGCACGAAATAGGATTTGGGGGGACACGGCCGGGGAGCGGGGATCACGTCGCAGCACCCGGCGACAAAAAGCAGCGCGCGGTGCCCGGCGGCAGGCAGCGGGGATGGAGCGCTGTGGAAGTAAGAGGATCCGGGGGAAAGGGCCGTGCAATTTCAGTTGTGCAAAGCCCTGGCATCCCGGGACAGGAAGAAGGCAATTTAAGGTTGGAAAGTTGTGTTCGGCTGAGAACGCTTCAGCCGCAGTTTGCAATAGCAATTCGCTGGCCCCGGAGCTGCAGTAGTTTGCTCTGTGGGTCACCTCCGAACGAGGGACACGAGTTCCCATATTGTCTCCTTTGTTTGTTTAGGCTTATTATTATTATTTTGTTTTGTGATATTTATTTTTTGTTGGTCTTTTTTTATTGTTGCTTATTTGTTTTCTGTATGATCAAAAGATAGCAGAGCTTCACCGTCATCTGTTGGCCGATAAGCACTGTGACTGCAGGCCGAAAGTTAATCTCTCTCCCCCTGCTTCTATTTCAAAACGAAACTCCGACGTGTTACATAGTGAAGCACAAGAAAGAAAACAAATCACCCCGCTTAACCTTCTCCGTTACAAACACGATACTTCGGAGGAGAAACGTGTTTAGCACGAAACACTCCTCGCAACCCGTCCCCGCTCTGAAGGCGGACTCCGGCGCTGGGATCAGCCCACACGCGGCCGCAGAGCTCGGGCAGCGCTCCCGTCGGGGCCGCCGCTGCCGTCGGGGCACGGGCGGAGCCGTCCGACGGGGCGGCCCCAACGCCGGTGTCACTGCCGGAGCGCAGCGGCGCTCGGAGCTCAGCTTACAGCAGCGGCTCTGGCTCCGCCGTGCGAAGCGCCGCTCCTTTCTTCTGTTACCATAATTACTTTCGAAAGCCTGGCTCGCTCAAAAAAAGGAAAAAAAAAAAAAAAAAAAAAAAAAAAAAAAAAAGAAAAGAAAAGAAAAGAAAAAAGGAAAGAAGTATCTATGAAGATTTACTCGCGGTTCTGGTCGATCTGGAAGTATGTTTCTCTATTTTCTGTCTACTCTCAACGTGCTGGTTTTAATCTCCAAAGCAGTCATTGGGAAAGAAAACCGGGGGAGGAGAAGCACTGCTATAAAGAGTTTAAGTTTAAGTGAAGCACATTAAATATTTTCCCAACGTCACCAAATAAACAGCAATCCTCCAGCTCCCAATAAACTATTTAAAGCATGTCGTATCATCCCTTCTGCTCCTGCCAATGTACTTTCCTTTAATTTACAAGCCGATCAGAGCAGGGGCCTGTCTTGTGTGTGTCTGCAAATGTCTGGCACCCCCCAGTCAGTTGCAGCTCACAAACGCTGAAATCTGCAGCTAACGTTGTTATCAGAGGTGCTCACTTCGATTTTTGCCTCGCTACTGCCTGTGGAAGTGGCTGTTGTAAACGATCCGAGCGGCTGTGGAAGGGTTCCACCTCTATGCGGCAGGGCTGACAGAGGGAAGGAATGAAGAATCAGGAGATAAATTAAGTCTAGAAGATGAATTAAACGGAGGTCTCCAGCTGTACATGTCAGCCCAAAGGAAAATAGGAAAAACCTCCTCAGGAGAGACGTTTTGCGTTCCCTAGAAAATAAACGTCTGCTCATAAAGGATGAAAGTTATTATGGTCAGAGGATGTGCTGTACCAAACAAACCTCCATTAGGCTAGGAAGGATAAAACAAGCTAGACAGCCTTTTTACAAAACAAAAACCGTCATGTCTTTGATTCCCAAGATATCAACCATGTCTGTTTCTGTATTGCTGTCAAGTAAACCTGAGTTATGGATGCTCTCAAAGAAGCCATCAAGGAGAAAACTCAGCTAGTGAAAATAAAGAATGCTATCCGTAGACAATTTGCTCAAAAGCTTTTCTTTTCAGACTCTTAAACGCTTGCCCTGCACCATGGCCTGACATACGAGTTCTCCCCAAATGATTTCTATTCTCCTCAAATGATTTCTGAGAGGAGCAAGGACACTAAAAGCGGCCATCAGACCCCATAACAGCACAGTTCTTTTTATTGAGGTGTTTTTTGTTGTTTTTTTTTTTTGCTCCTTCTGCACTGCAGCGTCCATCTATTTCACCGCAAGAGACCTAATGTCTGGAATGCAACCTCCTGAGGTTACCAGTGCCTAAAGGTTGGTGTTGCACAGCGTGAACCCTGCTGCTGAAACCATTTCCTACCATGCCGATGTATCACCTGAGTGAACAGACAGCAGCTTGATTTAGTGAGGTATCCACGCATTGCTCTTTAATGGAGGTGTCCTGTGAAGCTCTGCAACAAGCAAAACCATCTGTCTGCCCTAGGAAGCCTGGCTGGAGGGGAGCCCCGCACCAGCATGCGGAAGGCAAACCCACGGAGAGCTTCCCCCTTCCTGCATGCAAGGAGCAGGGCATCCATCACCACGACCGCCTGGCCGGACAGCACATCTGGCAATGCTGCATCTGCATTATCACCAGCGTGGAAGGAGCACAGAGTGGTACCTCCAAATGTGGCCATAGCACGGCAGTGTTGGGCTTTCCTTCAAGGGTTAACCCGCCCTCCTTAGCTGCCTAAGAGAGCTATAAAAAAGGACGGGAACAAAAAGGAGGCAGCAGTCCCATGAAGGCTGTGGGTTTGCAGGCAGACACACAACAAGACACAGAAGAAAGAAAGCTAGATTTTAGGCAGTTGATGATGAATTATGTATTCTTTTTCTTTGTGTAACTTTATGCTATGAGCAGCTTGGTACCACTGTTCCAGCAGAATAAACTCTTCTTCTTCCTTCCCTCCATCCATCTGATTCAGTGCATGGTCTGACCAACCCGGGGGCCCACACTCTGCCGGGCTGCCCCTGGAGAGAACAAGTTGCTCCCAGGTGCCCACCTTCAAGCAGGTGCTCCAGGGCTCCGAAAAGCTGAGATGGGCAATTCCCACAAAGCTGTGCTGGGGAGGCAGGTGCCCTCCCAGCAGACAGAAACCCCTTTGCCCGGTGCCTCTTCAGCAAAAAGGAAAAGAAAACAAGCAGATAATGGCAGGGAATATCTCGATGTATAATGCTGCCTTCAGGCAGATGATGCCCTTCAGACCCGAGAGCTGTGCTAATCGATGGCTGCGTCTGATGCAGCTTTTGTCTTTCCTATCCTGAGTAGAAGCAAATGTGGCCGCAATTAGCCGTAGTCAGGGGACAAACGCAACAGCAGCGCTCCAAGCATCACAACAGCCTCAAAAGCACTTTCCTCAAACTGAGCCCAGCCCTGAGGAGCAGAGAAATGGGCAGAATTATCCTCATTTCACATCATCATGTGAAAAAAGCAAGGGAAGGGAACGCGCCAATGTTACAAGCCTGAGAACGAATGTGAGCGCTTGTCCCACCATCTGCGAGGAGACGATAGAGGTGAAGGAGAGGGAATACAGGGGGGTGGTAAAAGTTCACAGAGACCTTCTATTTTTCTGGAGAGATGCTTCACATTCCAGCAGCAAAACTGAAGGAAGCGGCCATGAGGAGTAGATCAGAGAGGGGAAATAGGAAGATGGATGAAGTGCAAGGCTGGAGGAGCAAACAAGGCAATTACAGAGAGAGAGGAAGGGGCTGTGTGCGGAGACCAATGAGGAGCTGGAGCTCAGCGGAAGAAGCAGCAGCCAAAAGGCTCTTGGAGACACTGCTGGGGTGAGGGAGGAGGAAAAAAATCAGAATCTTTCGTGTAACCATAAGCTGCAAAGCTCCCTCTGGGGAAGGTCCCATGGAGCACGGTGCCCCTGGTCCAGGCACAGGGACAACAGCAGGGAAAGAGCCTGTGTTCCCAGCACAGCCATCTCCTGGGCACGTTCCAGCAGGCTCGGTGTATTGCGTTGTTCCTTCTCCCTTCAGTTTCCCTTCTGTTGGCCCTTCACTAACAGCAACGTGGAGAAAATTAAGCATAAAGCTGTATAAGCAACATAACAGGCATGCAATTGCATGTCTATTTTCTTTGAAAAAATGATGCTTTATTTCCTGTACAATGGAAAGTACAGTTTGATGTTACAACTGCTGGGTTTTGACTGAATGCAGAAATTTTACTTAAGCAATGACATTTCCCCCCGTATTTAGTATTCCCATATGTCACTGATTATATATTTAAGTTGCAGAAATGAATTAAATTTCATGGCTTCCTCAAGTTAGATTCTCTTGGACAGGACCATCCTTAACTGTTAACTACAAGACTCGAAATCACTTTAAATCAAAACAGCAGAGCTTTGGGTATCATTTCAGGAGAAAATTGATGATCGCAAACCAAGTGTTTAACATGTCATCAGCCAGAAGGGTGGGTAAAGCTCTGCAAGCCTGCAGGATAGAGAAAGTAGCACAGAGAAAAGGGGTTAATTGAACACCACGGGCTCAGAAATGGAAAAAAGACAGCGCGCTGTTTGGAGCTCTGTTGCCTGAGGTCTTATTCCTTCTGCTTCAGAAGTTATCATATATCCCCCATCTCGGTGCTCATTTCACTTACTTGGGTAACGTATCTTCTCCCACTGGCTGCAGAGCATTAGTGCCAATCACGCTGCAGATATTCTGTGAGCAGCCAGCTCTGCGCTCGTAGCTTTATTCCCACTTTCTGGAGGAAAAAAAATAAATAAATAGATCAATCCGGCTTTTCTTCACTCCTTCTGTTTCCCATCATCATCTGGAATTGCTAACGATTCCATCCCCACGGCCATCCCACAGCAGCTCCTCACCCTGTTCTGGAGGATCGGCGCCGAAGGACGCAGCAGGCAAGATGCAGCCTCAGTGAGAGCCCTGAAAATTCATGTCATACTTTGCCAAAGGCTCAATCGGTTGAGCATGTGCTAAAGCTCAGTTTGTTTTGTCTTATTTGGAGCTTTGGAAGATATTTCCTATCCTGACTCACTGACCAAGCTCCAGCCACACACCTGCGACTTCTGGAGCGCATCCCCGCAGCGAGAGGCCGGCTAGCACGTCGTCACTGCGGCAGGTCAGACCCTACTGAAAGCACTTCGGGCCACAGCTCTCGCACCAGTTCACTTTTACATGCAGCTCATGTAAGCTAACATCTGGTGAGAGCACAGTTATGGCCTGAGCTAGATGGAGCTCAGCGCAACAGATGGCGGTTGGGGCTGCAGAACCAGGGCAGCTCATCCCAAACTGAGCATTTCTTCTCCTCTGCGTATTCACCCTCTGACCACGTATTTCTCCAAAGCACGTCACGGAGGTTTCGCAGTCCCCTGCCATCAGGTTGCTCTCTTTGTCACACACAGCCCTGCAGCTCACTGCCGGGTCCCAGCTCCACGGTGACTTCATTCCACGTCAACGCACGAGGTGGGATCCTGATGAGGTCAGCAGTGCTGTGCCTCCTGCAAAGGGGGAAGCTGCCTCTCCAATGCATGGGGCGGCTCTGCCAGCGTGCACTGAGCGGTGCCGGTAGGCAGCAAGCTAGCAAGCTGCGTCTGCTCCTGCTTCTGAGCGAAGGGCGGAAAAGCCACCAAAGCCCGCAGTAGCAGCACGGAGAGACGTCGCCACCTGGTGGTTCCTCCCGCACGCCGCGGCCTCAGCACAAGCCGGATCAGCGGCCGGGTAGCGAGGGGCACCAGGAAACTGCGGGAAGGAATGTGCTGCGGGTACCTGCTTAACGGAAGGAGCGAACACACAGCCACCGGAATCCCGGGGAACCCATCAGCTTCGGGGAAAAAATAAAATAAAATAAAAATCAAATAAAATAATAAAATAAAATAATAAAAAAATAAAAATAAAAAAACTGCCTCTTCTGGAGATGGAGAAGAGTGTCTCCTACCAGAGCCAAAAGCTCAGTGCTCGTGGGGCTCCTGGCACTTACCCTTTGGTGTCACACGGCTCTGCCCTGCTGGGAACACGGGGAATGGAGAAGGATGGAAAAGGATGCAGGAATGTCTCAGCCTGCTGTGCATCTGCGTGCCCTCCCCGAAACCACAGAGAATTTGGGGGGACTCTATCATGCTTTCCTGCAGGCGTCCTGTTTTGCTCTTAGTGAGCCCATCACAGACGTCAGCGGTGACTTTTTTTCTGTTTCAAGACTGTCCTGGATGTCGGACCAGGGAAGACCCAACAGTTTCAAGACGAGATTACCTGCTAGCAAGAGCTAACGCCTCCTTCGGAACTCCTTCGGCACCCACTTCTGAAGCTGTCAGATCCCCTTGCGCGTCATGCTCTCCACCAGCTCTAGCCACAGCAATACAGAAATCAGAATAAACCTTCATTACAGGGCGCTCCGTTCGTTCCTTAGCCAGGGAATGCTAAACGGATGGAAGCGGGGACGGACGTTCCCGTGGCACCCCACTGCCGAACCCCGCACCCCACCGCTCCC